GTTCGTTCGGCCAAAGACCCATCCATCAGTGTTTCCATTCATAAACACAGAGCGTCTCCCGAGAGATCAGCCACCATTCCACACGAAGTTGGCGCCTTGGCACAGCGAAGCGAGGAGGGGGCGTTCATGGTGTCTCTCCCCCAAGAAAGGGCACAGGGAGCTGGAGACTGGGGCAGGCTCATCCTGGAAACGCCTCTCTCCACACATGCCTACTTGAGCGTAAGCCCCACTGAGTTCATCGGGAGTAAAACCACTTGAGCCCTGACCTGGAAAATCTTGCTGTATGGAGGAGGGAGGTGTTAAAAAATTATCAGCTCCGGGTGTCAGATACGCTAGGGAAGCCACTGGAGCTTATGTACTTGATGGAATTCAGGTAAAGGAATTCAACATGGGTTTTTTTTTGGGGGGGCAGCCAATGAGAGAACACAGGAAAAGAGGCAACCAATAAGGGGCGAGACACCTACACCAGGAATTACCCTAGGTTTTAGTGCGATGGGCAGGGAACCTACTTTAACAGGGTTTGCGCAGCCCCCTTGAGAAGAAGAAGAAGAGGAGATTGGATTTATACCCCACCATTCACTACCCAAAGGTTTCTCAGAGCGGCTTTCAAACTCCTTTCCCTTCCCCTCCCCACAACAGACACCCTGTGAGGTAAAAGAAGAAGAGGAGATTGGATTTATACCCCGCCCTTCACTACCCAAAGGTGTCTCAGAGCAGTTTACAAACTCCTTTCCCTTCCCCTCCCCACAACAGACGCCCTGTGAGGTAGGTGGGGCTGAGAGAGCTCTTGACAGAAACTGCTCTTTTTTCAAGAACAGCTCTTATCAGAACTACGGCTAGCCCAAGGTCATCCAGCCAGGCGCAAGTGGAGGAGTGGGGAATCAAACCCGGTTCTCCCAGATTAGAGTCCGCGCACTTAACCACGACGCCAAACTTGAGGCCGCTGCAATGCTGCAACACATGCACCAAAAAACACACCCAAACGGGCGCCCCCTTCATCAGTCTTCAGTGTGAATGTGAACAAACGGAACTGTGATGGGAGGGTGGGGACAGACGACAGAAAAAACATCCAAGTGTGAACTGACTGCAGCAATAGTGCAATAATGAGAACTGCCATGACACCCACGGAAAGCCAAAATGCGGCTGTGGTCCGGAGAACGCCAATGTGGGTGACAGATCCTGCATCCTGTGTGAAACCCCAGAGAGCGAGGTAGTGGGAGTGGCTATAGCTCATGAGTAGAACATCTGCTTGGCATCCAAAAGGCCCCAGGTTCAATCCCTGCTTTGTTGTTGTTGTTCAGTCGCACACTCGAGTCTGACTCTTCGCGACCTCATGGACCAGATCACGCCAGGCCCTCCTGTCTTCCGCCGTCCTCTGAAGTTGGCTCAACTTCATGTTCGTTGCATCTGTGACACTGTCTAACCATCTCATCCTTTGCTGTCCCCGTCTTCTTTGACCTTCAGTCTTTCCCAGCATCAGGGTCTTCTCCAGTGAGTGCTGCCTTCTCATTGGGTGGCCAAAGTATTTGAGCTTCAGTTCCATTATCTGGCCTCCCAGGGAACAGTCAGGGTTGATTTCTTTTAGGATTCACTGATTTGATCTTCTTGCAGTCCAAGGGACTGCTATCTCCAGATAAAAAGACCAGGTCGCAGGTGATAGGAAAGACCCAGAGACCCTGGGGGGCTGCTGCCAGACAGAGGAGCCAGTACTGACTTTGATGGACCAAGAGATGGTCAGGAGAAGACCGCTTCATGTACTTGTGTGTAATTCAGCCCACAAACAGCAGTTGCTCTGTTTCTTTCTCCGTAACTTTCTGCCTCGAAAAAAACGAAAACTCAGCTTCTTTTTCACACAAACACCCGCCTGCTCTTTCCTTTCCAACCCTCTTGAAAACCAGCCATTTCCTGGAACCCAAGGCCCCTCAGGGAGATGCTAATTGTCAGTGCTCAAAACACATTACCTTTCCTCTTCACGTGCAGGAGAGAGACTGAGCCACAGGGGGGCCAAATGGGCAACAGTGTTATGCTATTATGAGCTGCGGTGGCTCAAGTGGTTAAGACGCTGAACTGCAGGCTGTGGAAGGTCGGTAGTTCGGCAGTTTGAGACCCGAGTGTGCCGCATGACGGAGTGAGCTCCCGTCTCTGGCCCCAGCTCCTGCCAACCTAGCAGTTCGAAAGAAAGAAATTGCAAGTAGATAAATAAGTACTGCTTCGGTGGGAAGGGAACAGCATTCCGTGTGCCTTGGCGTTTAGTCATGCTGGCCACATGACCACGGAAACGTCTTCGGACAGCGCTGGCTCTTCGGCTTGGAAACGGAGATGAGCACCGCAACCCTAGAGTCGGACTCGACTGGCTTTCGAGCAAGGGAACCTTTACCTTTACCTATTATGCTAATAGCTCAAAAGGAACAGCACTATATATGCCATTTGGACCACGGTAGTATGTTTTTACCCTGCCCTTCATCCGGGAAGCTCTCACTGCCCTCTGACCCCCTCCATTTTATCTTCACAACAATCCTGTGAGGCGCACTGCAAACCTGGCCCTTTTGTCAGAATCGGTTGTGGCTGGCCGATCTGAAGTTACAGCTTTCGTGCCATGTTGGAAAATGCTGAACAGACGGCGACCATTTTGGCGCATCTGGCTGCTACATCCAGGGAGGATCGTGTCGGCTCGAACGGCGCGGATCCCAGTGCGCCGCTCAGCACCGTTTGAAGTCTTTCCCTTACCTGAGAAACTCTCCCCCAGTTAAGTTGCTCTGCTGGCAGAAGAAGAATTCAGTTAGAGGCGGGATGCTTAGGCAGGAAGAAGCTTCCCAACTTTACTGAATATATGGGATATATCTGCCCTTTTCACTCGGTGCCAAAGCAACACATGCTGGGGTTGCCATCTCCAGGTCAGGAAACTCCTTGGGAGTGGACAGAGGAGTCTGGGGAGGGGATGAACATCAGCAGGTTAGAAGGCCATGCAGCCCACCTTGCAAGGAGGCCATTTTCTCCAGGGGAACTGATCCCTGTCATCTGACAGCCCTACATGCTCTTGAGGGCCAGTGTGGTGTAATGGTTGAGAGTGGCGGACTCTAATCTGGAGAACCGGGTTGGATTCCCCACTTCTCCACATGCAGCCAGCTGGGTGACCTTGGGCCAGTCACAGTTCTCTCAGAGCTGTTCTCTGAAGAGCAGTTCTCTCAGCCCCACCTACCTCACAGGCAGTGTTCCCTCTAAGCTGAGTTAGTGTGAGCTGGCTCACAGTTTTTCCGCTTCCAGCTCACACATTTTTTTGTTTTAGCTCAGGAAGGAGGGCTTCAGAGCAAACTATTTCATACAACAGCCAAATCACTCACTCACCACTTCAATGCCAGTCGCTCACAAAGTAGAATTTTTGCTCACAAGACTCCACAGCTTAGAGGAGGGAGCATTGCTCACAGGGTGTCTGTTGTGGGGAGGGGAAAGGAAAGGAGACTGTAAGCTGCTCTGAGACTCTGAGCGGAAGGCAGGGTATAAATCCAATCTCTTCTTCTCCTCGATAGTTGTAATATGGTTTTATTTCTTTTTCCCTCCAACACTATCTGGAAGGCATGATTAAAACTTAATCGTTTGAAGGTGAGCCACCCTCAGTCCTGTTGGAATCAAGAGAAGACCTCTGATTTTGGGGACATGTTGTGGTTAAGAAGAGCCACGAAATGGGGAGGGGGGTGAATAAAGGTTTTGTTCCATTCCACACGAGTGCAAAGTCACAGAGATGAATGAAGCAAACAGTGCCGGGACCATACAAGGGTTAAACTTCCCTTCAGCGCCTCAGGAGGAGGGTGGCTGTTACCCAGGGGAAACAATTTCTGTCCAGACACATCCACCACGACCACCCCTCCCTGAGTTTAAATCCTCCCTGTTTTGGGAGGGTTCCCCAGTCCTTGGCTGGGGGGAGGGAGAGCAAATGGACCCAGCCAGAAAGGGGCCGGTGAGGAAGAAGCTTTAGCTGAAGTGTCACCTTTGGTGTCTGCATCCAAATCTCTCCTATCTGAGGGGGCTGAAGACAGCCCAGCACTATAAGAAGGAAGAGACACAGAGAACGGGCGGTCCGAGCTGTTGTTTAATGTCACCACGAAGGTGTCGTCAGACAGGAGCGAGGCATCTTCCAGGCAGGCAAGAGAGAATCCCCAGAGGGGCCTGACTCCATATCCAGGGCCAGCCCGAGCGGCTTTCTGCTCTTCTTTCCTGAGGACCGCCAGCCTCAGGACATTTGCTTGGGGCCAGTGTTCCCTCTAAGCTCAGTTAGTGTGAGCTAACTCACAGTTTCCTAGCCTCCGGCTCACACCTTTTTGTCTCAGCTCAGGAAGGAGGGCTCCAGAGCAAACGGATCTATGCAGCAGCCAAATCGCTCGCTCACAACTTGAATGCCAGCAGCTCACAAAGTAGAACTTTTGCTCACCAAACTCTACAGCTCAGAGGGAGCATTGCTTGGGGCGGATCAATTTTGGGATTGGAGAAGACGGAACAGGGAGCCGATTTGAAAGGAGGCGTGAACTCCCCAGCTGGGTCTTGAAGCGACGGTGGATCGGGGCCAGCGGGATGGCGAAACGGCTGAGGAGCTCATGCCCCGCTTGGGTGCATTCCCCTTCATTGATCTGAGGGTGCGCGGCACAAACATTCGAGAACGAGCAGAGGAAAGGAGCGCGTGAGAGAAAATACGAAGCATCGACCCGACCTGTGGACTGTGGGCTTCTTAATCCAGATGTACCTTTGTGGGCCGGCTGGTGCTACAATGGGTGCCTCCCAGTTCTGCAAAGGAAGCATCAGCGCGGGTGTCTTTCTGGTGCTCACCTGGGGGGATCTCTCTCCCCAAGCATGGGATATGCATTGACAGGCGTTCAGAGCCACCTTGTGCTTGCCAAGTGGGAAGGAAAAACTGCCTTCCAACTGAGTGAATTGATCCTGGCTTGAGACTCGATCTTCGGCTGAGCTGAGGAAGGAAGACAAAGCAGGAGGACCTGACCGGCGGTACGATGGCAACCCTCCGCCTGTGCTCCATGATGGCTTTGGTCCACCACACCCTCGCAGTGACATGGTTGTAAGTATGCCACCCTCTGCTCCGCTCCCTAAGCCCATCAAGGTTGCTACTTAGGGTTGCCAATCCCCCGATGGGGGTGAGTGGGGTTTCCCCCGCTTTCCGGCCCCCGATCTGCCACCAGCCAGCTGGCCGGTGGGGGGAGCCCCATCCCCAAAGAGCCCTGGTGCACCCAATGTGCCTGGCAACCATCACATCACCTGGAGATGACGTCATCATGCTGGGCACATCATGTGGGGGACGCTCTAGCATTTGGGTGAAAACTCTACGGTGACCATAGAGGGTTTTTTTTTTACCCAAATGCTAGAGCGTCCCCTGCACAACATGCCTGGCACGATGACATCACTTCTGAGTGACATCATCATGGCATGCGTGCCAGAAGACTCCAGCAGCCAGGCTGGAGCCCCCCACCGGGACCCAGGTAAGACCTGGCCCTATTGATACTACATGGCAGTTTCTTTCCACTTTGGAATTCAAACCACAGCCGTTTTTGTTTTGGAGCATCCCTACGATGCCGTGCACTAATCATGTGCAGATTGTCCTTTCCCTGTCCTCAGTCTGCTCTTTCTCAAACCCATGTTACTCCCACCTTTTTAGGAAGAGTGTGATCCAGGCGTGTTATCACCATCTGGACAGAGTGTGGTGCTTTATCTTGGCCTGTAAGGGTCCAACCCATATTGGCACCATTTCCCTGTCATCAGTCTTGCAGATGCCAGTTTCCCCACTGTTCTCCCAGAGGGCTTTAAAGAAAAGTAATTAAGTGTGATCCAGGCGTGTTATCACCATCTGGACAGAGTGTGGTGCTTTATCTTGGCCTGTAAGGGTCCAACCCATATTGGCACCATTTCCCTGTCATCAGTCTTGCAGATGCCAGTTTCCCCACTGTTCTCCCAGAGGGCTTTAAAGAAAAGTAATTACAATAGCATTATATAACTACTAGGAGTAAGGCACGTTCTGGGAAGGAATACAACGAGCTCTAGAAGGAAGCTCCAGGTGATTGTCCCAACTGTGGCAGGTGGGGCGGCAGAGGGAAGGGGAAAATAGAGGGAGGCAACCCATGTTTATTTCTTTCTGCTTAGCTATAAGGCAGGGCTTTCTCAAGTCATTTTGCTGCCTCAAGTGGGTAGTATGGGAGGACAGCCTCACGGTAACAGGTATGGTTCCCTCCACCCCTGACTTATGTTGATTTGGGGTTATGCAGTGGCAGCTAAGGTAGAAAAGCATCTCCTCCTATGCCATGTCTTCTGGGTTCAAAGGGTCTGGAAAGCGGTTCCATAGCCAGTTACAGGGGTGCCAACTCTGGGTTGGGAAATACCTGTAGATTTGAGGGGTAGAGCCTGGGGAGGGCAGGGTTTGCGGTGCAGAGGGACCTCAGCAGGGTATAATGCCATAAAGTCTGTTGCCCAAAGCAGCCATTCTCTCCAGGAGAACTGATCTTGGAGATCTCCAGGTGCTGCCTGGAGGCTGGCAATACTAAGGTGAGGGCCAGACCTGTAGATTTGCGGGGTAGAGCCTGGGGAGGGCAGGGTTTGGGGTGCGGAGGGGCTTCAGCAGCATATA